CTACTTTTTCTAGTATTCCTATAGTTCAAAACTTGGTGACTTAAATGTTGTCTCAAAGATCTCTGAGAATATCCTCATTTCTTTTCATTATTTTTTGCTTATTTTGCTCCTTGGCAGTTATCTCCACCATTATGTCTTTCAACTCACTTATGTGTTCTTCTGCCTCATTTATTCTGCTATTGGTTACTTCTAGTATATTTTTAATTTTAGTTACCATGTTGTTCATCACTTTTTGTTCTTCACTTCTCCTAGGTAATTTTATGTTTTTTCTCTTTATTTTTGATTTTTTTTCTCCACATTTTCTCCATTCTATATCTGAGATCTTGGATCATCTATACTATGATTACTCTGAATTATTTTTCAGGCAGATTGCCTAATTCCTCTTCCTTTACTTTGTCTTATCATTTTTTACCTTGATTCTTTGTCCACATGATATCTTTTCACTTTGTCTACCTTCATATGCTTCAGGTCTCCTTTCCCCAGGCTTCATGGTCATAGTTCTTCTGGCTTCTGGCCTCTGCTCCAGGTGGGTGAAGTTGGTCCTGTGACTTGTGTAGACTTTGTTATGGAAGGGACTGGTGCCTACTTTCTGGTGGGTGGAGTTGAGTCTTTTCCCTCTGATAGGCAAGTCCATGTCAGGTTGTGTATTTGGGGTATCTGTTAGCTTACTTTGACTTTAGGCAGCATATCTGCTTATGGTTGGGTTTGTGTTCCTGTCCTGCTTTTTCTTGGCATGAGCTATCCATCACTGTTTGTTTCAGGCAGTTGGATGGAGCCAGGTCTTGGATTCAGATGATGGTGTTTGTGGGAGCTATCACTGATAAATATTCCCTGAGGCCAGGAATCATCTTGCTGTCCAGTATCCAGGATTCAGTGCTGTATCCCTAGACAGTCAGGCCTGGTTTCAGGTCAGGGAACCAAGACCCTGAATGTCACTCATCACAGCAATAGGGAGATTAAAGAAAAAATGGCAGGCAAATGGTAAAAGTAAAATCAAACAAAAACAAGATAAAAAAAGTACACACACACACAGGAAACAAACATAGAACTAAAAACAAAAGCAAGAAAACAAGCAGACAAACAAAAGAAACCAAAAATTAAATCAATTATAAACAAAACTAATAAAAACTCAAAACAGAAAACAAAACCAGAGTGAAAAATAATAAAGCCAAGAAAACAAATCAGATAAAAATAACTGAAAAAAAGAAAAAATCAGAACATAAAAGCAAATTTAAAATAGAACTATAATAATACTATATATGTGTGCAATCTCAGTCCTTTCAGTTATGTCCTACTCTTTGTGACCCCATGGAAGAGCTCTTCTGTCCATGGGATTCTCCAGGGAAGAATACTGGAGTCGGTTGCTATGTCCTCCAGGGGATCTTGCCGACTCAGGGATCAACCTGAGTCTCTTCCATCTCCTTCATTGGCAGATGGGTTCTTTACAACTAATGCCACCTGGGAAGCCCAAAACTATATAGATATAAAATAAAGTATAATAAAATTATGTATATATATATATAGTAAAACTATATGCATATTTATAAAAGGAGAAGAAACACAGAACGACAGAAAACCAAAGTATAGAAATAAAAAGTATGATAAAAATAAATCTCAAAAAACTATAAATAAAAAATAATAAAAGCAATAAGTACGACAAAGGAGGAAGAAAATCACAAACAACAGAACAAATCAAGCCATAAAAATAATAATTTTTCTTAGGGTCTCAGGTTTCTCTGTCCTTGCCTCTGCTGTGAGCCACAGTCCACCTCCCCCTCCCTAGGAGGCTCTCCAATGCCTCTAGCATGATCTTTGGACCTGCTGTGGGCCCTATAGGGACAGCTCAGACTATAATCTGGCCCTAATCTCATGTGTACTTGCCCCCATTTTCCACAGCGACCAGAGCTATATCATTTTCATTTGTGGGAACACTCATTGTCCTTTCATATATTTCATAGGTGCAATATAGAAACCAGTACACAATCTGGAACTTTTCAAAATTTCTATTATAAATTTTCTAGGAAAATTGATATATACTGATGTTGATAATTAACTTTTGACATAAATAGAGCTCAATTCATCCAAGAAACATATAATGAGAACCAGAACACTAATTCTGAGTTAACCATAGCTACCTGAATGAATGCCAGGTGAAGGCTCAGATAAAAAGCAAGAGAGGTAAGATATAGCCTAAATTAATTACAAGTTTATGATGCTTTCTTTGTTTTCTTGGTTCTTTTTTTTTTTACTGTGCAGTTCAACTTTTATTTTAATAAAATCAGAATATGCACAGCACATGCAGTGCTAGCATCTAAACTAATACAATAAGCAATTACTAAAGCTACAGTGACCTGAGGTTCAATCTTTACATTCAGCAAGTTTAAGTTCATTCTTACATGATTTTTGAAACCTTATTTATTAACTAAAAATACTGCTTGCTGATAAAACTTGCTCAAATGCTATCACTGAATGTATAAGTCACTGATTATGCCAATACAACAAAGATAACCACACGTTTCAGGATTGCAATGAACCAGACAGCCACTGAAAAAAAAAATACACACAGCGAAACAAAACACACAATATTTGAATATGGACACTTCATAGCGGTGTTTTGAAGTGTTTCATTAATATCTTAAGAAAAGTGTATCAAAACCTTGGCATGATTTAATTTAAAGTCAACAATTTTGTTTTTACTAACATCAGAAAGTTATGGCTACACTGCCAATGCCAGGTCTGATTAATTTGACTTAAGAGTTTAATATGACTTAACATTAAAAGCTCACACTACTCAAATATATAATTCCATGCATATGGTGATATTCAACATTTAAGTGTCAGTGTTTTTGTACTGTCTTTTGGTCAAGTTTCTTTTTTAAACTTCCAAAGAATCACTTTTAGGCTTACAAAAATAAGTATTTGCCAAAATGTTCAATAAATATAACATAAAAGTAGCAGCAAAAAGTATCTAGAAATCTGTCATGTGCAAATAGTTTTCTTCCCAACTATCGTTCCCATGGTCCCAAATAGATTTTAGAATCTAGTCCCATCCCCTTCCTAGACAAGCTGTCTTCAACAATCTCCAAGAGACAAAATAATATTGGAAGTATAAGGACATGCACACAAGATATATATATATATATATATATATATAATTCTCTGAATGTGCAATAAAAGAAGTACTTTGTAAAAAGTTATGGGCAAAATGTACCAGGGCCTAAACCTAGACTAATTGAAATAGCACCATAACAAATGACCTCAATACTGTCAAGCACACCTACTTCATAAAAGTTTTAGAACAAGGCACAATACACTCGAAAATCTATGGCACTTTAGGAAAATTTTGCCATCTTCCTATGCCACTGTAAAAAGATTGAGCATTTTGATCACTGCATTCTGGCCACAAAATTAGCACAGAATTCAAAAGTGGCAGAGGCATTTTAGTGGTGGACAATGCTCATCTTTGGCCAGATTTAGCATAAATAGACTATAAATACAATGGAAACCCATGCAACTAAAACTGACTAAAACTGCACTGTATAGCAGAATTGACACCTTGTGCAGTTATGTACATACTTCCAACCTGTGTGATCTCAAAGATTTCAGTTTGTTACTCTTCTGGAGTGCAGGCGGATTCTTTACAGACTGAGTCATCAGGGAAGCTCAGTCATTATCAGTAATTTATTTTCTTCACAGCAGCAATCTGAAATGATCTTCTTATTATTGTTCCCCCTCTTGCCTTAGGCTCAAAGTTTCACTAATAGAGGGGCTGTTGAAGGGTTCAAAAGGGCAGATTGGCTTCTGGCTGTGCCTCGGATAGACATTCTGATATGAAAAGTGATTTTTTTTTAATTATTCATGGATATAACAGAGCATGTTGGAAGGAGCTTTGAATTCGCATAGGTCCAATCCTCGAGATCTTTTCAGAGAGACGGAGCATGCTGAAGCCTAGCGGCGGTGGCAGTCACTACTCCAACTTTACACTGCGACTCAGACGTTAGCTGAGTGGTGACGTTAAGTCACTACCCGGGGGCGGAGAGGAGCCCTCACGTCGCACCAGACGTAGCACTAATCCCTCAGCAGTTCTCCCAGTTTAGCACGCCCAACCTCTCTGGACAGCTTTGGCCGCCCGCCAAGGCCTTTCCTGATTGGTGCAGACTTTCGCTGTGCGTGTGACGTCACAAGAGGGCGACGTTGCTATAAGAACGCGGTCGGCGAANGGGATCGGGTAGAGAGGGAGGTGGGAGGGGGGATCAGGATGGGGAATACATGTAAATCCATGGCTGATTCATGTCAATGTATGACAAAAACCACTACAATATTGTAAAGTAATTAGCCTCCAACTAATAAAAAAAAAAAAGAAAACAGTGCTTTGAATGTATGCATGTATTCATACATCACCTCATCATGACTGGAATGGCTTGTTTAAAGACTATCAGGTTCTAAATATCTAACCAGGATAGAGTGAACAAATCAGAACCTTAACTTAATACAGTTCACCACATTAGAAACTAATTCCATTAATAGGCTTCAAAGACATTTGTTGTTTGTTTCCCCCCAATCTGCAAATATCAAAAAGCCCTAATGCAGGCTACTGCTTAGGTTTTTTTCCTTACAATATTTATGGATGAATTGATGATTCCTGTTAAGTTGTATCACATCTGTGTACCAAGGTTTGATTTTAGCCCAAGTTCATTAAATTTATTTTGTCAAAAACAATTGATATCTTGAGCATTACTGAGCCAACAGGACATCAAAATAAAAAGTTGTATAAAGTTAAAGGCCAGTACATTAACAAACAAATGATTCTCAGTCACAAATTATAAATGCAGTTTGGGATGGGGGTTGGGAGGGGAGTTAATCCAAACTACAGCAATGAAGTCTTCAAACCACCTTATGAATAGGGCTGCTGATTGTTCCTTTTGACTCTTCATGTGACCTTGAGCTCCCTTAAAAAAAAAATCATTGGAGAATCACAGCTGGTAATATACTGTGAGTTCTTGAAGCTACACAAGGTATAGTCTGGCTAAGTTACATGTGGTTTCCATATTAGCTTGTTTGGCAGGGTGACCTACTGCAAAGCAGGTTCAGTTACCCCACCAGTTAACCCCCTGGGAGTTATAATTTCCTCCAATTCCATCACTGTTGTAAAAGCCTCTATAGCCACCTCCACCAAACCCTCTGCTGCTTCCATGGCCACCTCCACCACTGTGGCTGCTGCTGGTGTGGCTGCTGCTGAAGCTGGAACTGCTGCCACCACTACTCTGTCGATAGTCTCTGGCACCAAATCCTCCACTGAATCTACTACTTTTGGATCATCCATGACTGTTACCCTTGTAGTGGTATTCATAAGCCATGTTTTGTAGCCAAAATGGCACTTCCTGTTTAGCTTCAACAAGAAGATCCAACAAATCCTTGGTAATATTTATGTTCCTCTCATTAAAGAATGAGGTGGCAAGGCCAAGGTATCCTACAAATCTTATACAGCCAATTCAATGTACATATTCTTCAATATCACTTGGCAAGTCAAAATTGATAACGTTTCCCATTTGATATGTCCAGTCCTCTTGCTGTTGTAGCCATGAGAATCGGGCTTTTTCCTGAGCAAAACTGGTAAAGGGCCTCTTCTCTATCTCTCAGAGATTGGTCTGCATGAATACTGGTACAAGCATATCCTTCATGGTATAAGAAATCCTCTAGAGAATCTGCACCCTTTTTGATCTCCACAAACACTAAGGTCAGTGAATCTTTGCCTGTTGCATTTAGAAGGTCAAGCAGAAATGACTGTCTGACTCTTCCACCCAAACTACTTTCTGTGTGATGTTCTCAGAGGTAGAGCCAACTCTTCCTATGGCCAAAAAGATATATTCATCCAAGAAATCATGAGCAAGCATCTGTATTTCCTTAGGGAAGGTAGCACTAAACATCATAGTGTGGTGAACTCCCTTTGGTGGTATAGTATCTTGTTCAACGATTCTATGTATTTGAGATTCAAACCCCATATCCAACATCCGATCAGCTTCACCTAACACCAAGTATTTGCAGAAGTCTAATCAAATTTTCCCTCTTTCCATCATATCCACTAGACATGCTAGAGTGGTAACTAACATATGGCATCCACATTCTAAGTTTCAAATTTGCTGACCAATATCAGCACAACAATAAACCACACAAGGATGAACTCTAGATTGGTATGAAAATTTCCTGGCTTCCTCATAAATATGTATGGCCAATTCTCTAGTTGGTGCTAACACCAAAGAGATTGGTTATTGCTTGCAGTGCCCGTATCTTCCATTTTCCTTCATGGCCTTAAGAGCCTGGCCTGGACCCACAAAATAAATCTGACTTAAGATGGGCAAGAGAAATACTGTAGTTTTTCCAGACCCTGTTTGGGCACAGGTCATCAAGTCACTCTTCTCTTTGATAATAGGAATAGCACGCTTTTGCACTGGAGTTGGGCGAGTGTAATGAGTAAGCTCAATGTTTCCCATAATAATTTCTCCCATCTAACATCACTGAAACTTTCAATGTGTGGAGGACAGTTGTTGCCTGTTGCCTCAACTGAATGTCCTCATATTTTTCAAAGTTAACCCCAGTGTTGCCTCCAGAAAAGTTCTTGTTCCAAGCGTTCATTTGGTGGGAGTGGCTTTGGCCAATCATCTTCATCTGATTTGTCACACCAGCGACTATTTCCACATTCATATTTGCCAAAACCACCTCTGCCACCACGACTGTCAAAGTTGTCATAGTCACCTCATCCACGATCACCGAACCTTCCCCTTGATCCGCTTCCAGGATCACTGAAGAAACTAGACTTCCCTCTTGAATCACTATGGGAACCAAAACTGCTGTATGCATCCTTATCTTTACTGGAACTCCATCCTGAACTGTCTTTATCATAGAATTCTTTAGTAGCTTCTCTGTTCCTTAAGTGAGGAGGAATATAGTACCCTTTGCTGGTTATACTTCCTCCATTCTGATTATATGATGAGTTTGGGTCCAGGCCAGCAAACTGCTGGTCTAGCCCAAGTGCATTTCCCACTGCCACACGACTCATCCCTGAAGAGTATGGAGAACTCGGAGTCTTCCGCTGCTGAGCTAATGTGTTGGGTTCAACACGAAGGCCCTCTCACAGGAGAACTGTGGCTCTGATGATGCTTTTGTTTTGACAGAGTATATAAAACAGTGACCCGGAGTTATTTTGGAAAAATATAGAGCATGCCAATCACATTTTTATATTGCTCTCATTACCCTTGTGTTCATCAGTGTACTCATTTGAAAAGTGCAGATAAGTTTTAGTGCCTGAGATTTTGGGGTCCTTTGTTAGCACAGCATAGCCTAGCCTATTTTGACACACGTGAGCAAAAGACACTTATAGAACCAGAGTGGTAGGATGGTGGAATTTCTCAGGAGCTCGGTCTTCAACAGGACCCATTAGGAGGAACATGTACTCAAGGATGCATGAAAAAGTGGCAGGAAGTCCAAGAGGCAGATTAAGCTTTGAGGGCATGAAATCCAAAAAGGAACTAAGAAGGTTAATTTTTGCCCTGTTTCAGGAGGATAATGAACACTCCATTTTCTCCAAGTGTTTTAAGATTAACGAGGATGGAAAGCAGAACTACTCATCTCCACCAGGGGAAGGTGTGCAGACTGGAAAAGTGAGAACATCTCCAAAGATCTGTTGTGGTCTTTTTCATCACAGAAATGACTCCACCTTTGAAATCACTAGCTCAAGCATCCTGTTTTTTGCCCACAATTCCCTTTCCTTTCAGACACTGGTTCAAATCCTATTTTCCAATCTCATTGACCACTACCCCCACGTTCTTAATTTTTCATATTCAGCTAAGAGACTCCCAGACCATTATTTTTATAACATTTTTACCAATAATCTAAAGTCTCTGGACCTCTGTCTTTTCATTATTCACTTAGCAACAAACCCAGCTTTTGTCTTTTCCATGACATGGAACAACAGACTGGTTCCAAACAGGAAAAGGAGTATGTCAAGGCTGTATATTGTCACCCTACTTATTTAACTTATATGCAGAGTACATCATGAGAAACACTGGGCTGGAGGAAGCACAANGAGGATGAGATGGTTGGATGGCATCACTGACACAGTGGACATGGGTTTGGGTGGACTCCGGGAGTTGGTGATGGACAGGGAGCCCTGGCGTGCTGTGGTTCATGGGGTCGCAAAGAGTCAGACATGACTGAGCAACTGAACTGAATTGTGTGCCCATGAACACTATTGCAAGAAGTTTCCCCAAAGGACAGATTAGCATCAAGATAAAGTCATCACCTCAAATGGTCCCCAATAGCCTGTGTTTTTCATGTCCATCCAGTTCCAGCCTCATGTTAATTGTGTCTATTTCAAACCTTCTCTGGATAGAGGTCTACTCTCTTATCCTTCTTTGCCCTCCACCCGCCTCTCCATTCTAAACAGATGATCTTACTTCCTACTTCATAGGGAAAGTGAAATGGTTGGACAACCTCACTTTTCAACTATAAGACCCATGTATTCACTTACTTCTGTACCCATCTTCTCCTTTGCAAGGATATTATTTTCCAATATTAACCTATAACTTTTTCCTTATGTTTTCACTTTTCCTTTCTCCCCTTTTTTAATCAAGTAGGTGGCTCTGTGCTCACTGATAGGGAGAGATGTGGCTAGACAGAATGTAAAAGGTCGCTGCTTTCTCCTTTCAAAAGCCTAAACTCTGGTACTGGAGAGTGTGGTAGATTTTTTAAAACAACCACAAAATCTCTCCCTCCTCTTTTCATGTTCTTTGGTAGTGCCTTCCCACACTGACTCTAGGATGGCCTTGTGACTTGCATTGGCCAAGGTGACATTAACAAATATGACATGAGCAGAGGCTTGAAAAATGCTTCCACTGTGGGGATTGCCCTCTTGCTGCCCTTGGGAACTCTGGGATCACTGTGGGAAGAAGCCTGGGCTAGCCACATGGCTCAGAGAATAGATCATCCCAGCTGAGGCTCCCAGACCAACCAGCATGCTAATGCCACACAGGTGAGGGAGGATATCTTAGATCAGTGCTTCTCAAACTGTAATGTACACATAAACCACCAGGTGATCTTGCAAAAAACCAGAAACTGATTGATTAGGCCTAGAGTGGGACTAGAGTGCCTACATTTCCAATAAGTTCCTGGGTGCTGCTGGTCTGAGAAGCAAGCTTTGCAAAGATGTGACAGGGACTTTCCTGGCAGTCCAGTGGTTAGTACTCTGTGCTTCCACTGCAGGGGGCCCAGGTTCAACTCCTGGTTGGGAAACTAAGATCCTGCATGCCACACAGCATGGCTGGACATGCTCCAGCCCCATTTGATTTGACCTAAATCAAGAGAACCACCAAGCTGATCCATACTATGTCATAGTAGTAGTGTTAGTTGCTCAGTCGTGTCTGACTCTTTGTGACCCCATGGACTGTAGTCCACCAGGCTCCTCTGCCCATGGAACTCTCCAGGCAAGAATACTGGAGTGGGTAGCCATTCCCTTCTCCAGGGGACCTTCCCAACCCAGGGGTCGAACCCAGGTCTCCTGCATTGTAGGCAGATTCTTTACCATCTGAGCCACCAGGGAAGAGCTATGAACAATAATAAATGTGGATTTTAAGATGCTAAGTTTTAGGGAGCTGTTACATGGCAAAAGCTAGCTGATACAGAAGTATGAGAACTTAGATAAAACATCTTGGAAAAGCAGAGGAAACAGCAGTGCTCTATGGGCCCCTCCCCTAGGCTGGGCATGGGGGAAGGGAGAGAGAAAAGTCTATGGCCCCACAGCAGACAGCACGTGAGTTCTTCCTGGCTATGCATGAGGGAAGAACAGGACTCAAGGAGGAGTGGTTGCATGTTCATTTTTACAGAGATGATCAGAGGCACTGTCCCAAACCTTCCTGGGCCCCAGGCACAGCTGGGAGGCAGCAGAAAGTTCACAGAGACAGTGATGGTGACATCTCAAGGACAACCATAAGGACCAAAACCCAGTGATCCTAAGACCCCCTAGGAATCATCAAGGTCACTTGTCTGTCACCCCAGCAGGCAATTAACAAAACCATAAAGTTTTTTTCTACAAGGTGATTTTTATCCACCTAAGGACTGATGCTGAAGCTGAAGCTCCCCTGATGCAAAAAGCTGACTCACTGGAAAAGACCCTGATGCTGGGAAAGATTGAAGGCAGGAGGAGAAGGGGACAACAGAGGATGAGATAGCTGGATGGCATCACCAACTCAACAGACAAGAGTTTGAGCAAGCTCCAGGAGTTGGTGAAGGACAGGGAAGCCTGGTGTGCGGCAGTCCATGGGGTCCAAAGAGTCAGACACCACTGAGCGACTGAACAACAACAAAGTTAGTGAAACTGCCACCCCCTTTTTCTTCATTTTGCTATAATAGAGTAGGCCCCGGTCCTCCTATCAGTCACCACTTCTCCCTCCTGTTAATTCAACCACACTCTCTCAGCCAGATTTTTCTCACCAGTGTGAGAATTCAGCATAGCTAAGTCTCCCTTTTAAAGTCCCATTGAGTCACAGCCTCATCTAGCACAGCTGCTGCTGATACCTTCAACTCCCTTATGGGTATCAGAAGGTGCCCCTCCAGATGGAGGAATTGCAGAAATGGGGGCTGACCACATTGTAAAAAGCACCCCTGCCTTCAGCCTGCAGGCCCAGGCCCACATTATCAGCCAGAATGCAGAGCATGGCTGGATTCCAGCCTGCTCTTGTGTCCTCCTGACAGACATCCTGGCCACACCCTGGTCCCGCTGTCACCAGTTTCTCTGCCCGCTCCTCACAGCCCAACTTCTTCGTGGAGTTGTCTGTACTTGTCCCCTCCCTGCCGCCATCGCCTATTCATTCTCAGCATAGTCCAGTCTGGGTTCCAACGCAGTACTGCTACCTAAACAGCTCTTTCAAAACTTATTAACGGTTTCCGCATTCTTGAATCCAGGAGACATTTTCAATGTCTCGCCTAATTGACCTTGCAGTAGTGTTTACACTGTTGACAACTTCTGCCTTCAAACTCTCTCTTCTTTCAGCTTTGATGATATCACCTCCTGCTTGGCTCTCTTCTTGTTTCACTGCTACACCTTCAGAGCTCAGCACTTGGGAGACTGGGCTTTGTATATCCATGACCCTAACAGTACCTACCCTGCAAGGTTGTTGTAAGAATTAAATCATGTAATACAGCTAGCTAGCTAGCTATAGATAGAAACCCAGTGCATGATGTGGAGTAAGCTTCAAGTATTCTGAGTTACTGCCATTGTCATGAGAAGCTTACCTTCCTCTGGCTAGTTATTCAATGTTTTAGAATGTTTAGAATTCCTTTAGGCTCAGTCTTAGGCTCCTTTTCTTCTCTATGGTTTGACTTTTCTGGCCCAGATTTCTCATTGGAGCTCCAGACCTAGAAATCTAGTTGCCAATTTGACAGTCCCTGTTGGTTGCCTCAAAGTTATCTCAAGTTTAATATGTGAATGGGAAAACTATCTACTCTATTATGCAGTCAAAAACGTAGGATTTGGTCTTGGTACTTCCCTCTTTCTCCGTCCTGCTTCCTGCTTCAGTTCAATCCATCAGCCAAAGCAGATTGTTTTTACCTCCTTATAGCTCATTTAAAAAAAAAAAAAAAACTTCTTTGGCCACATTGCATTCCATGTGGGATCTTATTTCCCCAACCAGGGATCATACCTGCACCCGTGCATTGGAAGCATCAAGTCTTAACCACTGGGATTCCAAGGAAGTCCCTTCATCGCCCTTTAATCTGTTTACCTCTCTTCATTGCCACTACCACCACCTTAGCCCAGGTTTGCACCCTCTGTCCCCTGTAAAAACTGCTTAGCTTGTTTCTGTTTCCACTCTGCTTTCTTCTGATTTTGAATCAGTGATTTATTCCAATCTTGTCACTCCTGACCTTGGAGTCTATCATGGCTTCCAATGGGTCTTTGGGTAAAGACTCAAGTCGTTGAAGCTTGTAAAGTGTGTGGTTAGGTGTCTTGAATGCCAGAGCTTATCATGATGTCAAGCACATAGTCGACTTCTGGGAGGAAGCACTTTTATATCTGGTCTTTGAAAGCAAACGAAG